TAGTTTATTTATTAGGTAAGGGAAAAGAACGTAAAGTAAGTAAGTAATTACTATTAAGTACGATACATATATATATATATATATATATATATATATATATATATCTAGATATTAGTTCCTATTTTTATAGTTACAAAAATATTAACAATCAAGGAAGTTTTCATGAATATATTAAACACTTCTCAAAATATTTAAGGGACAATCAAATTTTTGTACATGAATAAAGAAAACAAACTCATAGTGATGAAAGAAAATGCAACACTTATTTATTCTGATATATATATATGAAACATTACTTTAATAACACATACTGTCTTTAAATTTGAGATATTTACTGTATAGATTTATACTCTTCAACATATTCCGTTTCCCCAAAATATTAAGAAATTTACTTAGAAGCTGAGGCATGCTCTCTTTCTTATGATTCTATCAGGGATGAATTGGTCTGACTACTCCCTTTTTGACTCTCTTGATGTTGACTGACTTTACTATATTTTTAATTTAGCCTTTATGTTGTTGTAATATTATTCTTTTGTTTTGGGGATACTATAGTTACTTAGTTTATTTCTTCCTTAACATTTCTGTAGGCTACTACTAGTATCACTTGTTGTACACTGTTGTAACTTTAGGCCTAAGTTTACAAATGGCATTTCAACAGAAATATTTCACTAATAATACTATGACTATTGTACAAATAAATTTGTACAATTTCATGGCTAATCAGTCAAGTAACTTAATGATTGGCACTTTACCAGGGATCAAAATATTACATTCCTGAGGAATTTAACTTTGCTTGAGGAATTTCTTAATTTTGGTTGGCTTTCCCAATCAGGAATGCATGGTTCATCAGTATTCCTTTAGTTATGACCAATGAAAGTGAACATATTGCATAGGCTAAATAAAACAACAATTCATGAAGATATGCAACTTTACATGAGGGAATGTAATCTTTCTGATAGCTTTCCCTCAAATGAATGTAATTTTATTTCATTATTTTTATCCCTGTTCATCTACTGAAAACTGACTGGCTTGCTACAAGCTACTTACTGGTATGTATAACTATGCCCATATTAATCTTAGTCAAGTTTATTAGATCTTAACCTCATGCACTTAAAATGTAACTTACAGTAATATGTTTTAGTTGTAATGAAGTGTGCAGGTGTGAACTGAATGAAACTGGTTAGCTAATCACAAGGTTTTCCTAATAAGGGCTTAAATACTTTCCTAAAGGTTCTAAGAATTTTCACATAAAAATTGCATCACTGAGGTCATTTCCAATCGAGGACAATCTTGGTGCATGGCACATTGTTCTCCACGTGCTTATCAGTATTTGTATAGGGGCCTCTAGTCATTAAACATCTGATGCTCTTCCAGCCAATTCTTCTCATTAGGAACTCTCCATCTATATTCGTATCACATTTTTCTCTCTCCTAACTAACCAGATGTTTACATTTCATTGCTTAGAAGTTCCATAATATAGTGCAGTTCCAATTAATGATGTAAAGTGGAGTAATATCCAACTTGACCAAAATTATTCATTTATTTGATGTCAATTTTGAAGGGTTTGTTGCATATTTCAGGTGTCATGCTGATAGAAAATTTACTTAGCTAATGATAAATATTCCTAATGAGAATAAATTATGTCTATGATACCTTTTTATACTGGACCTTTACTTGTATTCACTAAGTATATATTTCTTTTGTTTTTTTTTGTTATCTAATGCACATGTTACTTGCTTTTTCTCATTGCTAACTGCTTTCCTAATTTTAGCAGATATTCAGTATAATGCTATTTTAATCAGTCCTTTTCTAGCCCAACTAATTAAGATTTCTTCAGTTGTTTTCAAAAGTTTAATTGAAGATTTTTTCTAATATTCCAAGTAACACCATTTCATCTTCTCTAACGTACCTAATTAAGTTAATTTCCTCCTTTTATTTATTTGATTAAGTTCAAGGCACATTTACTGTTTTTAGATAATGTTAGTGGCAAAACAAGTGCCAGGTGATCTGTTGTTTGATGTAATATGCACGTTTCAGTTGTGTATAAAGTGACAATGTGTGTGCTGAGATAGTAATTTGAACAATAGCAGTGTGTGTGTGTGTAAATAGATTAATATTGATAATAAAACATCCAAGGGCTCTATTAAAGACATTTGGACATTTCCATGTTGTTTGGAGCAATAGGTTGGCTAGAAGCTAGTCAAACATAACTTGCTGCAGAATAGCTACAAGTTTCATAAAGTGTGGCTTGCAAAGTGAATTACTTTCAGACCACCAATACAGTTATGTGGAGACCTGAACAGGATATACCATTGCTAACAGTCCTACAAGGTTACTGCAGTACGTGCTTGAAACAACTAATAGGCCTCACTCCCCGATCAAATCAACAGTTCAGAGCAGCAACTGGGTGACAAATCATATTACAAATGATCAAAAACTGGTTTCATAATGGTTGGCCTTTATGCCAAATGATCAGTGACGTAACAGTGCATCTTCAGTAGTGTTAAGAACACAGTGATTGGTCAAGTGATCTGTGTGTGTCTTTATCACAGATGAATCATGCTGCAAACTGCAACTAGACATGTTAAAATTTGGAGGGTGCCCAGGACCAGATCCAAATGCAATTTCTTGGAAGACCTGCATGTAGTTGGGATGCATACTACTTAGCAATCAATATCAGTGGCTAGACTGATCTTTATGCAGAGTGTCCCCTAGCTTTTTGTATTTTTTTCCATTACTTTCAACAAATAATTGTTTTTTGTTTGTTTTTTTGGCATTTCAATTTTTTAGACCCTCAAATTTTTAAGTCAATTTTATATGAATTTCATATATATATATGGTCATTAGAAAGAGCTCAGTTTACACTATACTCTACCAATGGCTAAATTTAAATTGGCATGCAGTTTTCCTTGTAGTGTACATGTAATTGCCATTAGTATTGTTGTCTGCTTGATCAATTATAGCAATTACGGTGGTTTTTTACCTAAATATACTATAGTTATAGAGACAGTTAAATTGCATTTAGGTCTTTAATGTTTTAGTTAATTATGTATTATTTGTGTTTTAAAAATCATATTTGAAATTTTAATGATTTTTATAAGTTTAACTTGTTATTGCCTGGATTGTATAAAGAAGATAGTGTCATTCTCGTGTGCAAAGTGTTAATGGAACGAGTCTCTGCATGTGGGTTGCTGTATAATAATAATAAAGCCCCGCAGGCACCAGTTGACATATCACCATAAATAATAAAAGACAAAGAATTGGAAAGGAAATTTAAAAATAAACTATAAGTGAAAAGATGAAGACTTGAAACTATGTATATGAGAAAAAAAAACAAGTTTCAAAAACTTGTTTGAAGAGCTAAAAGGTATGTACATATTTCCATTTCTTAATTTTAACATTTCATTGCTGTGTATGTTGATGATAATAGGTAGAGTTAGTGATATAGTAGAGAAAATGGAAAATAAAATATAAACATTTACCTCAAAAAACTTTTGATATTCATTTAGAAGGTTCTAGAGATTATGAAAATGAAATATGAAAACTCTAAGATAATAAATACTATTTTTATATAACATATAAAAATCACCTTCAGGTGAACTGTTCAGAGTCTGAGTTCAGGTAACTAAATTAAATAAAAAGAAATTTTTAATTAGAAATAGTAGAAAATATATGAATTGAATATTTCATTTATCTGAAAGTACAAACTTTTAGGAACATTCCTGTCAAATTTTAAACAATTTCATCCACTAGTTTTATTTTTGGTATGATGTATGACTAGAGTGACATTACCTACTCATAAAATTAGAAGCTAGGGCCATAAAGTTAATGTGAACTGCGATTGTGCAATATGATATCATCATGCAACAGTAGCCTTCCATTAAAAGTAGGGTGACTGATAGATATACACAACTGTTTAAGTTTAATACGAGTGTTATGACTTAGATGATTTAAGTATAGTATGAGTGTTAAACTTAGTTATTTTTAGAAGCGATAATTTATCGCAGTTTTTTTACATAACTGTTTTCGAATTATACACTGTGTAGCTCAATTGTTGTAAATTGGTGATTGTTGTATTATTGTGTCATGTTACTAGAACCTTCTAAGTTTTTCTTGTTCTTTTAATTGAGTATTATTGCATCATAATATCAGGTACTGGGTACAATGTTCTAGGCCTCTGTCAGGCTATGCATTCAAAGTGTTGTTTGAGATAGTTAGATCTAGACTGCATGATTGTGAGTTTAGCCATAAAGAGCATATAGAGGCAATTTTAAAGTGAACTTTCACAGATTGTATTGTTATAACAGAGTAGAGAAGAATAATTTGTCTTGTCAGTTGTGCTCTAAAGCAATTGAACCAACCTGTGTGGACTATGATGAAAAAGAGACAATTATTTAAGGCTCTGGATACAACTGTGATAACCAACAGTTATAGTAGTGATTTTAAAGTGAGATTATCAAAGACTGTATTGTAATAACAGAGCAGGAAGAATAATTCCTTTTGACAAATTGTGTTCTAAAGTAACTGACCCAGCTTCTGTGGACTTTGATGAGAAAAATACCGTTATTTAAAGCTCTGGATACAACTGTGATAATCAACAAAGTAAAACATTTGTATATATACGTTTGACTTGTTTTAATATATTATTTTGAAACAAGTGGACTGTGTGCTGTTTGTTTATTGTTGTCAGACCTTTAAGTATATATATATTGGTGTACTTTGGTGACAGATTTTCTTGAAGGCAGATTTTGTTAAACAAGACCGATGTCTGTAGGTTTACTTTCTTCTTAGAATTC